GAATTTGAGGCTAGAAGACCCAACCACAGAGCTTTCATTGTCCTACTCTCTGGAGGCAGGACTTATTAATCTCACAGCATTGACACGTGACAGTATGCATGGAGCATTGCCAAGAAGAGAAACTCATTGAGCCTTTGGTGTCCAGAGTTTTTACTGGGATTTGATCACATACCTCTCGTGGGGTTGATAGTCTATGGACATCAGTGCTGGGCTAATACCTTCAGTCTCCAAGTAGTTTTGGAGGCAAAATTGATACCACATGACCCACAGCTCCCATCATGGAATCACATTATTAGATTATTTTGGGCTTAGTCGCTTAGTTGTATCTCACTTTTTGCCACCCCATGGACTAAAGCTTGCCAGGCTCCTCTGTGCATGGAATTTTCCAGGTAAGAATACTAGAGTGGGTTGTCATTTCTTCCTCCAGGGGATCTTCCCTACTCAAGAATCAAACCTGTGTCTCTTGGGTCTCCTGCATTGGCAGGCAGGATCTTTACCACTAGTGCCACCTGAGAGGCCCCGTGGCCAGATCCCGCAGGCAAGCAAAGACATTCCTGTCCTACAGGACATTTTCAGGCCCTAGAGACCACTTCCCTAATAGCCAAAGGAAAGTCCCTCTCTGCGGGTGAGGTTAGCTGTTCATAATGGCGGTGGGGGGAGGTGGGGGAGGAAAGAATACAAATAGTACTTTATAATTACTTCTTGAGGGCTCACTGTGTGTCAGGCAGTGTGTATGCATTGTTTCTCTTGATCCTTTGAATCTCATTAAAAAGTCACTACGTTTGTCTTTGTTTTAAAGGCAAACTGGTATGTGGAAAGATTAATGCCTTATCCAAAACCTTGTAAATAGTCAATGGTGGAAACAAGATATGAAAATGTGTCAGTGCAGTTCAGTCGCTCAGTCGTGTCTGACTCTTTGTGACCCCATGGACTGCAGCACGCCAGGCCTCCCTGTCCATCACCAACTCCTGGAGTTTACTCAAACTCATGTCCATTGAGTTCTTTCCCAGCATCAGGGTCTTTTCAAATGAGTCAGCTCTTCACATCAGGTGGCCAAAGTATTGGAGTTTCGGCTTCAGCATTAGTCCTTCCAATGAATATTCAGGACTGATTTCCTTTAGGATTGACTGGTTTGATCTC